ACTTTTGTACAGTCTTGTGTGTGTGCATGCATGTGTGTGCGCTGTCATTCTTTATACCCTTTTGCATTTATAGTACATCATTAGATGCAGATCTGTGCCATTTAGACTTTAAAAGTGTACTAACCTCCAGTCATGAACACCAGATGAGTCTCACAGAGTGCTCTGTGGCGGAGTTGTAAGTCTAATTAAGGGAGCAATTACACTCAGCTGTAAATGAGGAGTAGACACAGCTAATTGCTTCCGAGAGGTCTCTTTTTTTCTTAATAATTTGACTCCAAAGTGGTTTGGTGTCAGGCTCCTTCATTTGAAATGAAAATACATATTATAGAGTCAAAAAGAATGGACATTTCTATTCACTTGGCATCCTCCAAAGTCTGCACTGTAGACTCAGTGGGTTTGGAATGTAGCTTAACAAAGCTAATTGTCAAAAGAGTAATCACAATGATGCTGTAATGTATAATTGAAGCCTGGAAGACTGGTTTGTATCACTTTTCCTCCCATCTCAATGTTTGGCCTGTGTCACTGTAGTGGTGTGATGGTAAGTCAGTCACCTATCATTAAAGGCCATGATTAATGAATTGGTATGGGATAATTCTCTGACTTTGAACAGAAGCTGTCCAGACAAGGGGCTATGACTCAGGCTTCTCTCACAATTTAATAACTATAGCAAATTTACGGTAGAGTTCCATAGTATCCGGCTTATGTAAGCACCCCCTGGCTTTACAATCTAGAGAACACAGATGTGCTCAGCGAACAGAGGCTTAATATGCTACGGTCCAATAGCATGCTATTAGGCAAGGTGCTTTTACAGAGTGGTCGTATGATGTGTGCTGTATGAGATGAGGTCTGTACTTCATCATGGCTGGTTTCACTAATCTCTTATGATACCTTTTGAAGGCAGTCTTTTTTAGGCTGTAAAATGACCATGATATGAGGATTTATTTGGTACTGTGTAATTTGAAATGTAAATAACAAGAGCTCATTGTTGCCAAGTTGAATTTTGCTCTGTTAGCCTCTTAAAAATTTTGGACAAGTATAAAAAATGTGTGCTGATACTTTCTTACACTCTTAAAGGTAAATTTCCCTGAACGGTCCTTGGCTTGGTTGTACGAAAAAATTGAATCTGGCTAGAACTTGTACAAGGTTCTTTAAACTTTAGGAAGGTTCTTCTTTAAAGAACCATCCATTAAAAAGATCTTTAAAGAATTAAAGGTGATTATTCTATGGCTTCACTTTAAAGAACGCTTTTTGGCAGCTTTATTTTTAAAGATGTAAGTCCAAATATTTAAGTGTGAGATTTATTATGTGTTGTCGCTGTCAAAAGAAAAACATGTATCTCTAAAATAGTAATTTTTCAGGAGAAGGCAACAACATCCTTAACATTTGAAAGTAAGTTAATGTAAAAAGGTTTAATTTAAAGTTTTTTTGGAGTATTTCTCTTAGTCCATGACTCTTTCACAACTTATGAAGCACAGCTGCCATGTTGAAATGGTGTTGAAAAATAAAACATCAGATTACTGTATTTCAAAAAAAGAATGTTTCCTGTTTTGGTGGCAGAAATTCTCCATGTTGCCTCTAACTCATGTACAGTTTGTATACTCAAGCAGTGACCCAAATCCTTGCACTTCAGTTTTGATGAAGAATGTGTGGTCAGCTATTTGTAATTTGTCAATATGTACAATAGCTGGAGAAGAGCAACACTGGCCCACTAGCCAACCACAGTACATAATGTGGAATAACTAAATGTCAAATGTAATCAGACTTCATGAGCTCTGTAACCTCTGAGATCCTATAGTGCAATTTGTAAAGTATAACTAAATTACATTCTCCAGGATTTATAGATTTAAAAGGACACTGAGGTGATAGATTGTGGTTATTAATTGCTATCATTTTCCACATTTAGATTAGCTACAACAAAATAGATATGCCCAGTGTATGCTCACCCTATAAACTCATCAGTAATGCATCTTGAGTAGTAGGGTCTCTGTTGTGTGGCAATAATGATCTATGATGTGGAATAATGGATGAGCTCAATAATGAAAAAAACAGTCCTCTGTTAATGAAGAGATGGGTGTGTTCCATGGCAAAATTTACAACAGAATAACTGCAATGCAACTGTTACATTGGCTGGCGAGACAGAGGTGCCATTCCAAATTCTGATTGGCATACTCCAAGAGCAGATGGTGGAGGGATGGCATCCAGACAACGCTGGCATCCTCAGCACAATGTGGCACTACAAAACTGTGAATCCACTGAAGCACGAGATGGAAAAGAGGTCTTCCTAGCAGTTATACAGCAGCATGCCTTGGTGTCTCACTGTGTTACTTTGTTACTAAAACTTACTAAGCTTTAAGCCAAGCTCAAATATTTCTTAAAGAAAACAAAATACAAACAAAATTAAGAAAACAAAATTAATAACAGTTATAATAACCTTATATGGGCCATCAATCAGTCATGCACTGAATCATGCGAGTATATCCAAATTTTGCACTGCTTGTTAGAGTCTTATTACTTGACTATAATGGGATCAACAAAAAGTAATTCCATCTAACTTTCACACGCTATAATAAGAACCACACATGACAGTCTGAGGGAATGTGCGCCTCCAGACGAAACCTCAGTGCCATCGAGAGAACCAAATGTTGTTTCCCTTCTTTTAACTGCCACTTCTGATGGTTTGCCTCTTTGTTTAGCTTTTCCTCACTAAATCACGCTCCAGGCATGTTTACTTGTTGAACAGATTGTTAAATTTGGGCTCATGCTCCATGACGCTAGCACTTTTGGAGGAGGAATGTGATGTGAAATGACACCAGCTGATTCTGAGCTTGTGGAGAACTCAGTCTGGTGTTGGTATGTCCCCTCGGGCTGTCTGGGCTCCTGCCCAGGTTTGCCGACATGATTCTTGCTCTGAAACCTCACTGCCCAGGATGGGAAGTCGTTCAGTCGCTGGATTCCAACCAGATTTTCTTCCTGGCAGCTTTTGAAACCATTATCACAAATAATCAAGCTCATGACTGTCCAGTATGTGGTGACCACAAGACGTGGGAAAACGTATGCAACATTTTGAAAAGTCGTTTTTTTTTCTAAGAAAGAAATTTGACAGCCTTGTCTTTATTACAAAGAGTGAAAAAAATTAAATACTATATGTTGCCTAGCAGTAGAACCATGACATCTCTATATGTAAAACTAAGACTGCACATTTTGAAACCACAGATAGGTGGTAGCCACACTACAAGGAGTGAATGCATACACACTTAGTGTGTGTGTGTGTGTGTGTGTGTGTGTGTGTGTGTGTGTATGTGTGTGTATGCATTGAAAACGCACACTCTTGTTACAATGCGATTGTTAGACTTATTATTTGATTTAGAAAAGGTAGAATTCAGTGGGCTTGTGGTTCTATTTAGTAGTCAGAAATACAGCCCTTCAGTTAAATAAAGACTCACAACTAATCTGCGGTAATGCACTGCTCTGTTGATCTATTCATGATGGTGCTGTTTACAAAGCAATACCTCTCTCTACATGTCCCCAGCTAACTGTTAAAGTAGATTTATCGGAGCTCCCTCTCCCAGGCTACATAAAGCTACAGCATACACTCCACCCAGCAGCTGCTTAGAATTGTATGAAATGCGCAAATGACATCACAGCCATCCCGTCTCTGCATGGCAAAGAGAGTATTAGTGGAGTCATGCTAAGAGTCTGGTGCTCTGGAAGTTTTGTTCAGTCCAAAAAAAAGAATGAATATGAATACTTAGCTTGTGGTCACTGGCAGGAGTTCTCTTATTCAGAGAACTTGGAGAATATGTGGGTTTACTACTGTGATACGCTGTATGTCCAAAAGTAGTCAGACACTCATTCTAATTTGTGCAGCCATTGCTGACACAGGCATTCAATTGGGCACTTACAGCTTGTGTGATCTAGAGAAAAAAGCATCACCATTAGAATGGGACACTCTGGAGCAGCCGCACAATGCCAGGCTCAATGCCAAGCATCAGCTAGAGGTACAACGCCCCCCAGCCTTGGGCTGTGGAGCAGCACAACTGTACTCTATGTATTGATTGAGCTCCACCCAATACCTTTGGGATGAATTAGAGTGAAGTTTGTGATCCAAAACTAAAGCATCCAACATTATTATCGGACATCACTAATGCTCCTGTGGCTGAACGCAATAAAATCCTCACAGCAAAGTTCCAACATCTAGTGTAAAGCCATCCAAGAAGAGCAGAGGCTGTTACAGCTGTATTTCAGAAGAAGCCTTGGATGAGATCTATAAACATTAGGACTTATACACACTTAAAAATGATGGTTCTCCACAGGTTCTTTAGTGAAGAAAATGGTTCTATATAGAACCTTGAGCACTCAAAGAACACTTTGCATGATTAAAGTGTTCTGTGCATTGTGAAAGAGTTCTTTAGATTGATGGAGAATGTGCTGTAGATGATTCTATGTAGAACCTTTTTAAAAAGGGTTCTATATAGTACCAAAAAGAGTTCTTCTATTGAAACAAGCTTGACATCTTAACAATAGAAGGACCCTTTTTGGTGCTAAATAGAACCTTTTTCAAAAAGGTTCTATTTAGAACATTCTTCAGCACATTCTCCATCAATCTGAAGAACGCTTTCTTGATGCAGATGGTTCTTGGAGTGTTCATGGTTCTATATAGAACCATTTTCTTTACTAAAGGACCCTTGAAGAACCATCATTTTTGAGTGTGTAATGTACATGTCCTACAACCTCTTATACGGGAAAATATCACAGTTTTCATCTTTTTAAGTAGATTAAAGGGCAGATAGGGTTAACGGTGGTCGTTCATTGACTTTACCTCAGTAGGAGCTCCTCTGCTCACTCTCTGGAGATCTCTGGACCTCTCCTGAACTTGCCAGGGCTCTGAGGCTGCGCGCTGAGGGCGGTAGGACCCAGCGGAAAAAGGAGAAGCCGCCGGCACGAGCGCGCTCAGACTCCTCCTCGTCTCCGGTGTCAAACTTGACATCAGCCTCTGAGCCGAGAATGGTAACTTGTGTCGGGATCGAAGCCCTCACATCAGTGGCATGCTTCATGGAGTTATGTGCCTCGCGTTGCCCTCTGAACTGCCATCATGGACTGCAGCGCCCTAATACTTTTCCTTTTCCTCTTCTCGCTCGTTTCCCGCGCCGACTTCAGCCTTTATCCGTCCAATGAAGGTAAGGAGGCGTTTGGGAGGAGAGCCGTGAGGGGGGATATTAGGGTACGCTTCACCTCAGGTTATGGGTCGCGGACTCTGCGCCGCTCTCTGTGTGAGCAGGGCTGCTGCTTTAGCTTTGAGTTCGCCCTGACAGACCTGACTGTATGGAGCGTTTTGGCTGCAAACATCTCCAGCAGTTCTGTGGTGTTTCTGTGTGTTTGTGAGCCTCAGTCAGGAGCGACCGTTGGGCTGTGGACTCAGAAAGTGCGAGGTTTGTTTTAAGTATGTGAGGTAAAATTCATAATGAACTGTCGTCGGTTTCAATGCCAAACTAGAGTTTAATGGCAGTATTAGGCATTGATTATCGATTATCGAATATCGATAACTAGTCATTTTAGCGAGAGACGGTCTGTTAACTTATGTGAATAAAAACAAAGCCTCGTGAAGACACACCACAGTCACTGAGGACCATTTTTTAAATTCTCCACTCAGTCTGTCGTTTATCTCCGACCTGATTTCTTCAGTGAATCTTGACTGAGGGGATTTTATTCGACACTTGTCTCCACGAGGCTGCTGTCTCGCGCGTTTAATAACCAATATTCCACACAGCCTGCCTGCCGAGCAGCACGCGCAGTTATTTCTCCGTTTCCTCTCAGTAAAGACTTTATATTTCAGTGAAACCGTGTTCTGTTTACCGTCTTAAGCTCTCAGACTAAATGCGTGACGCGGCGGCGGTGCAGTTTATTGGAAAAGCTCAGTTTATCTCGCTCCGCTGAGGAAGACCCGTCCGCCTCAGCGAGCTTCGCCTGTCTGTCTGTTCACCAACTTTATTTAGCTTTTAATAAAGTCCGTATTGCTGCTTCACACACTTAAATGCCAGACTCAGATAGTAATCAATAAATATTAGTCTACTTAATGTTTTATGCCTCACAGCCTCAGCTCGCGCTGTTTATCTGTTTACCGCAGCGCCGTTTATGGGCTGTTTCACAACCAGAGCGGTCTGAATATTATACCCTCACAGGATTGAGATAAAAGTAGACGACGCAACTGTGTAATATGTTAAATTATGTTATATTATACAGGCGTTCGTGTGAGTGTGTGATGGATAAAAGACTGAAGCTAAGGGCTGATTTTGAAGTTGTCTGCGTGTCCGCGGATCTCATCGCACCAGTAAATCTGCTGTTTACAGAAAATTCACTTTAAAAACTAAACGGTCAGTTTAGAGAGTTAATAAAACACTCTTATAAACATTTAACTACAGATTCTCTCCCCGTATTGAACTGACAACATTAGCACTAAAGTACTGTTTATTACTTAGATGGAGCCGGCTGAGCATAAATAGGCTACAACAGAAATATATATATATATAGAAATGTATATATATATATATTTATATAAAAGCAAAGGAATACAGACACAAAGGGATTTTATAATAATGTTTTATCACTGTAATTGTCTGCATCTAATGAAAATTTGTATTCGATATTCTTCAGCGTCGTTCAGTGTTTAGACTCGGTCTAATTAAATAGACTAGGCAGAAGTTCTAGTTGTGAACCGGAACTATATTAACTAACAAATAGTTAATAGTTATGAAGTGAAGTTTTTACAGTGCCAGTCCTGCTTTATTTTAATGTATAAAGTCTTTACGAAGAAAATCTGCTCATACAAAGTTTGACTTTCTAATGAACGCCTGTATTTCCATTTATTCGTTTCTAAATTTAGATCACTTACGTTTTATTACATGTTAGAGCTGAAGTTCGGCTTTTGAGAAGTTTCGGCTGTTTTGGTGATGAACTGTGTTGTGTAAGTACAGACTCTGAGCCTCCAGACTCAACTACACGACTCAGACACGATCTGACCTTAAAGACACTTTACATTAGACGGTCTGCCCAACATCACAGCTTCAAAACAGCTTCTTTTCTTTTCTTTTCTTTTCTTTTCTTTTCTTTTCTTTTCTTTTCTGTTTGCTGTTTTTTTTCTCCAAGGCCTAGCTCACATGGCCTCCGCCTGTTAGCCAGGCTAGTCCACTGTCCCATTTAGCCTGACTTTTCTCTCCTCTCATCCTCCACCTTATATCTTATGTTGGACTAAATTTCAGTGCCAGCTGCGAAACTGAGTGAGTTTTGAGACAGAACTCCAGGTTCTGCAGGTTTAGGGCTGGTCTGGCCAGTGAGGGTCAGTATAGAGCCGCACGCCTGCTTTAATCTCATTGAGAGTAAACTGGCCTTTCTCACCTCTTCAGTAAAAGTTAATGTGGGGGTATAACAGCGCTCCTCTGTCGGTTACGAACACTTTATGTGAGTCTTTCCGTAAAGTTGGCGTTTGTTTGAGTGTCTTTACTGGCTGCGTTTGGAGTTGAGGACGCAGTTCAGGATGATCAACATCTGAACTTTTTTATTTTTTTTTTTACTTTCAGTTTTGGGTCCGACATTTATTTAGCTCTAAGGTTCGTCCTGTTTTTTCTCTGAGCGCATTTACTGGTGTTAGACCCCTGATCTACTTTATGTGCTTTTTAAAATTATTTATTTATTTTATCAAAGCTTTAGATCTTGAAGAGTCTACAGGGCTGGAGAGATCTAAACACTGTAGAACAGACTTTTAAAATGTCTTCTTTACTGAATATCAGTGGTGATCTGTAAGGTGTTTAGTTTCTGGTCCGTGCGGCAGTAAACCGGTATTCTCGGCCTGTGTGAGGCTGAGGTGGCCTGTGTGAGAGGTGTGTGTGGGGTGTGTGACTGGTGTATTGTTTGTTATGTGTCAGTGAAAGTGTCTGAACCTCAGTATGACCGAAGCGGCCCATCATAAGTTAAAAAGCGAGATAAAAAGTGGAAGCTGTAAAAGTTTACGCACCCCGAGCGCGGCGTTAATTAGCGTCGATTAAGCGCGCAGATGAAAGATGGAGATTTATAGGAGGCTGTGTGCTTTAGGAACCTGGGCAGCGCAAGAAGAGTTTTTTTCTTTTCTTTTCTTTTTTTCTTTTCTTTTTTCAGTGCGGCAGTAAAAGCCAGAGAGAGTTCGGCTTTATTTTAGTCCCGATCAGAGAAGTGAAGGCCTCCTCTCCACAGGCACACACCTAAAGTGTGAGACGAGATAATGTAAGAAAATTAATTACTATAAAATATATCAGATTTTTCCTTATAACAAAATTAATATTTTTATCATAACAGACAGGAATATTGAACCTTTGATATTTTTTACCAAAGCTTTCTCCGTCACTCGTTGGTTTAAACACACGCGGCAATTTAAAATATTACATCTGACCAGTGCTTATCATCTAGTTTTAAATGACGCAGATAATGGAGTTTTTTTTGTTTTTGTTTATTTAAAAGTGCTATAATAATTATGGACTAATCTGTTTTGTAAAGGCAGCTCGCTCACTGCAGGCCTGCTCCGCTCAAGGCTGAAGCGCAAAGCCATTCTCTCCATTTTTCAGCTTTGCGCCGGGATTATTACATATTCAACCTTTCATTTAGTGATTTTCACTTTTCTCATATCTGCATCTTCTCAGCACTGGGCTCTGCGTGGCAAATAATGACATTTTCAGCTTATATGGTTGAAAACAAAGATCTTTATAGGCCCACGTTTGAAGTTTATTGTATAAATGCTGGCAAATGTTCATAATTGGTTGCAGGACAATGGGTAGGTCTCATGCCAGATTGATATTTTCCTTTCTAATAAACAACACATGTGAGGAAAAAAAAAGCAGAGACTCGTTTTCCTATCTTTTCTTTAATCTGGGCAGACTGCCTAGTGAAACATACTTCTGTTTAAAGAAGCAAATGAATTTTTCTGCCATTTAGCAGGGCTTGTGTAAGTCAAGCCCGACTTGGGCAAACCTGTGGGAGTAAAGTTTCAATTGTTATTTTCCCTTGCATATTTGAGCATATACTCGGGTCAGCTTATCTAAGACAATATTTAGTTCAAATCTGCATGCTACAATGCGAAGGTAAATATTGTTTGTTTTCAGAGAATTCACCGAAGTCTCTAATTCTAGACATTTACTCTATAATCAAGCTTAATTTCCACAGTGTCACATGGACACAAAAGAACACGGGTTTGGTTTTTGCTTGTTGCAAACAGTGATGCACAGCCCTGACAGTCAGGCCTGACATTGGCCTCCATTTTTAGAGTGAGTGTCACTGTGGCTGTGGCGGGGTGTGGAGGTGCATTAGGCCCCCACTGGGAAGGCCAGTGTTTCGTGAGCGATGGTACCTTTCAGAGGTGCCGAAAATCTGCTTACACATGTGCTCATGGTAAAAATAGTGCAATCGGGGCCTGCAACGTGCTCGGGCCGGTTAGACGTTTGCGGAGAGAGGCTGCTGGGTGCTTGGTGTAGGGAGCTCAGCAAGGGGAAAAAAGCCGTGCAGTGGCTGGGACAGCAGACACACTGAGACACAGCTGAATTATTCATACTTCAGAGTTTAATACTTCATTACCACCAGGCCACTGTAGGTAGAACCTGGGATGATTGCGTATTTGTTGCCATGTGTAAGCTGTTTGTAATCTTTTACTGTTTATAGTTATCTATTTTTCAGAGATATGAAGCTTAGGCAATAGCATTTACGTGTATTGCGTTTATGTTTACTCGCTTTCTTTGATGTCTGTTGTAAAACAACAAAATGTATGATTTCCCAGTGTTGTTGTTTTTGATCTCATGTTACCAAACTGCTGCTTAATAAAACATGGCCTTCGAAAAGAACACATAACATTTCATATATATATTTCAGCTTTTACAAGCACCATCCTTCACGAGATAACATGCATTTATTTATCTTGGAGAGGCTGTTGGTGTTAGACATTGGGAATTTGATGTGAAGTTTGGAGATTCTCCAGTGAACAGCATGTTCTAGAGCTGACCAGCTGAAGGGGTGGGTCCAGCCTGGGCTGAAGTGGGGAATCAGGGGAAGCTTTTTGGGACGCACACGCACACTGAACCGTTCTCTGCTCCTCTCTTCTGAAATCCTTTGAAAATAATCCCCAACTCCACCAATCACATTTTAATAAAGCCAGGCCTCAGCATGCCCCGTCCCCTTGGATTGCGCTTCTGAGCTGTTACTCCACCTGAGTCTTCTGATTCCCATTTTAATTTAATAACAGATTTAATTAGCTACCTGAGAAAGGTGAAGGTCATGGAAAGCTGAGAAACAGTCTCGCTAGTCCTTTGAGAGCCATATGGTCCTCTCATCAAGCTCATTCTGATCGTAATCAGTTTAGCAATGTGGCTTTGCAAGTGCATGTTAAGCATTGTTAATATACTGTTGAGCTATGAGACTGTAAAGTTTTCCATCTTATTGTGGGCTGTCTCTGGATCGTTAGTGAATGAAAACATTGTGTTCTCACTGCTGCTGACGTGTTCGATAAAGGTGCCTTGTGCTGATGAAAGGAAAACTATACTTATTGGTGCAGGGATGATTTATCAGGACGACGGATGCCCATGGGCAGCCTGCGGTTGTGATCCTGGATTACTGTCTCTCTCCTGTATTGATTTACCTGTTTTGCCCTGTGTTGTTTGTTCCCATGGACAGGGAGAGGAACTGCTATTAATAAGCTGAGTTACCGTACGCTGACGGGCCGTTATTGGGCTGAGTGGGACTGCCTGATGTAGCCACGCTGCTAGGTGGCTGGCGTAGGTGGGTGGAAGGGTGGGTGGTTTCTTTGGCTGTGATTTCCTGCTCCTACAGCTGGAGAATTTGCTACACGAACATAGCCATCTAATTTTCTCTTCTCAAATTCCCCCGGTCGGCTCAATTTGAGACGTTGGCTCGCTCATTGAGACATTTAAATTGGAACCAATGGAGCTGGATGTGATCTGCCATTATCTGACATAAGCAGATATCTTTATTTCAGTTAATAGGAATTGGTCTACTGTATGCGGAACAGGCAGCTGTTTGGCTGTCTCTCAGGTGCGGCCCAAATTTCAGACTTTTGTATAGGAATCTAATAATGGGCTCTCCCCTCTCCCTTTAACTTTAGATACACGTAGCGTGCCAGGACAGAGTGGCACCGCTCTCTGTCATTTTATATGGGCCGAGCTGGAGCGATTTCTTGTGTTTGAAAGTTATAGGCCTACAGTGCTCCAACTCCAAATGTCACATTTTTGTATCTTCCTTCAGAATTTTTGTAATAAGTAAATTAGTGTGTTCCCACAAAGTATATTTTAATGAACAGCAGTGGTACAGCGTCTCTGTCATTGTCCACTTTCTCTGTGTTTGTAGTTTGTCCGGACCGAATGTTTACTGGCCAGCGCGTCAGCGAGAGTGAGCGGCATAGTGATTAATCCCAGCCATGGGCGCCATGCTGAGTGCCCCACATGTCAGCTGTGATTATGCGTTTATTGTACATCGACGGCAGTCTTTGTTCTCTTTGTGCCTGCAAGAGCTTCGCTCAATCAAACAGCAGTGGAGCTGAGAAGAGCAAGAGACAGAGAGATGTCAAAGAGCTTGTCAGGATGGTAGAATGAAGGTTTCTTTGTAGACACTCACCTCCTCTGCTCATGATTTATACATCCACAAGGAGACAGCCATTTTGTCCTAGATTCACCCTCCTCTTTGAGGACTCAATATTGCTTCCAGAATTCCTTTTTTCCCCCCTTTGCTTTTTGGTTTGTGGAATGGATGAGAACATAACTACTTTCTGAGCTTTAGCTTTGCTCACTTTTTTAGCTTTGAGTGCAGTAAGTAATTAAGAAATGTTGTAAAAGCAGTACATGTTATTTCATCTTTCTGTATATATTTGATCGCATTGTCATTGTCAAATTAACTCAAAATTAATTGTTGAGATTATAACTAATTTTGAGTAAGATAATTTTTTGGCCTATTTTGAATTCAGCTGAATTTATTTAAATGAATTAGCCTATGTTCAAATATAAACAAGCCAATATTGTTTTAAAAAGACTGTTTAAGATTTGATGTGGCGTGATTATTTTCCCCTCTGTCATGTTATATGAATTTTAGTTTTTTTTTTTAAACTGGACATTAATTATGCTAATGCCATGGCAAAAATTAATAAAGTCAAAACAGCACATTTAAATAAAACAACTGTATATCGCTGCTGTTGGAACAAAACCTCATCTCCATTTTTGTCGTTTTTCACTTTTTGACATAAATTGCTTGTTTCTCTTTACATAGTTTGTTAATTTTAAGATAAATGGACCAAAGGAAATGGCCCAGAATGACTTTGAAAAGAGTCTGGTTTCATTGACTTACATTAAAAGTAAAGTATGTTTTTTCTTTCACTTGTAAAATTTTGGAGATACAAGGTTTTGTTCCGACAGCAGTGATATGGAAGATGGACTGTTTACTCAATGTGTTAGTCCTAGTTTTAGCCTAAAGTTTAGCCTAGTTTTAGCCTAAAGTTAAGCGATTGTTGCCAGGTTCATGAAATATTACAAGGAGTAGCTTGTTGCGTCAGTATGTGCAGATTGGGTTCTGATGTTTTTAGCCAGCATATCAGTTGACAAGTCTTAACAATATTCTGCCTGATTTAGTGTTTTTTAGCTTGTAGAGCATTTTCTTTCAGTGAAATTATCTGATAGACTTCAGGCTAAAATAAATATTATAGACTCATATTCACAATTATGTTTAAACTGGACCGTTTCTATTGGTGAAATATTTATACAAAGGGCAGTTTGCATATTCAAATCGTGTAAAAAATAAAAATGGAAAAACTTTGAAGGTTGAATCTAACAAGGAGGATCTGGTAATGTAGTGCTTTTTTTTGTTTATTTCCAAGCATTTACGTAGCTAAAAAATATAAAGAAAATGGTATAACTGTATTCGTTCTTGTAACCTGCACATGCAAAACTTGAATGCAGAGAGAAATAGGTAGGCATGCAGCGTGTCAGGGGAATTGGTGTTATAATCTTTTCACAGCTTACAAACACATCAGAAATATTGGATTTCATTCGGATGATGCTTGTCAGATAATAGAAGCCATTTGTGTTCTCCTTGCCTTGTTGAAGATGCCTATCAGTGTAACAACACACAAAGAAATGATGGGGAAGATATCGACATGTGAGACACCACCACCCACTGGCTTCCTCATAGCATCAACAGGACAGGGATTGGGTTGAAATGGCCTCCCGATGTGGGGAACTTTTCTCAGTTACCCCAGCGGCTGCACCAGCCTTAGCCATTTGGAGGATGAGTCTGATCTACTGAGAGGAGAGGCTTCCACTATTTGTTTAATTTGATCGTGCCATGAGAGTAGTGCAGCTGAATAAATACTCTGCTGGTCAGAACGGACATGTCTCCTGGGGGACGGGTGGGAGGGTAATTGAGGCTAACAAGGGATAGACGCTCATTTGTCTTTTTTCTCTTTCTTTCTTTTTTCCTGCAGTTAACCTGTTGGATTCCAAAGCAAGCCAAGGGGAGCTGGGGTGGATATCATATCCATCACATGGGGTAAGTATATCAGTGTTAACCCATATCCATACTGCTCAGTTCAGGAGACCAGAATCGAGATCAAAATATAGTAGTGCAATTCAGTGCAATTAAGACTTATTAATGTTTTTTTTTTCTGTGTCTTCACGTTTATTGTCGTTATTATTTCATTATACAGAGTACTGTGCAAAACCACCCTTAATTTATTTAATTTCCAGTCAAAACGCCCATTAATTTATTCATTTTTTAGCATCAGAAAAATAAAGCAGAAAACATATATTTTAATATATATACATAAAATTACACAGAAGCTTCAACGACTAAATATCAAAACAAATAATATCAGATTTTTCAGTATTTAGTGTGTCCATCCATTGCTTTTATTACAGTTTCCATTCTTTTTGGGAGACTTGCTTTCAGTTTTCAAATTATTCTGCATGGATATTTTTCCACACCTCCAAAGTTCAGTCTTAGAAGTTGGTTGCATTTTCTGCTTCTCACAATCCAAGTAATCCCAAACACATTTAGTGATGTTGAGGTCTGGACTCTGGGTAGGTCATTCCATTGTTCTGAGAACACCAGCAGCATCCTTGTTTGATTTTCAGCTTTTCACTTTTTTCTTCTTTTCTCGGTAACAGCTTCTTGACAGCTACACATAATTTCAGACTCATAGGGTTGAGCTGTCTTCTCACAGTGGAAAGAAGTGGATTTTTTCAGATCTAATGCAAGTGTGTGATTCTCTCTCTCAAAGATGAAAGTTAAACACAGATCATCTGATAGGGACAGTTTTGGTGGTCTACCAGGTCTTGCACGGTTGTTGATTGTCACATCTTCTAATAAGTTTTGACCTCCAGTTTTGGAAACTCCCAATTTTTTCCACTTATTTTTCTTTGACTTTGCCCTTCCTTATGCAAGTGGGTTATCTCACGTTTAATCTCCTCAAAAATATCTCCTGACAAAAGGAATAACTGGTACTTAAAGGCCATTTTGACTGGAAGTTAAATAAGTGAAGGTTAGTCTCTGCTTTTCCACAGTGCTGTATTTATATTCTTTAATTGTGGGGAAATGAAACATAAAAATGATTCTGTGTAAACTTTGGGGGGAAAAAAACACTAAGGGTGTTTACAGTAGTCTTATCTACAACATTAATGCCCAGAAATAAAATGTAATATGCCCTGCAAAAATAGCATATAGTACAACCAAACATAACAAAACAGCACACAACCACAAAAGACTAGCCTTTAAGGCATAGAGAAAGTCTCCAGACTAATTTATTTCTGTTGTCAAAGCCCTGAGGTCACAGCGTCCGGTAATGACCATGTTTATTTGTTTTACTATGAATTGGCCTCATGGGCTACTCAAACCAAGTCATTCTTAAAACTTTATTAAGTGTTAAAATTACTTGTTGGCAGTTGCTTAAGGTAATCCAGTAATTTGCTCCGTATAGCTGCCAAATCTGGTTTCCTCTTGCTCTTTTTATTGTTGGCACTGTAAAATGTGGAAGGTACGTTTAGTGTGCAGAAAAAAAGATCATTCCTGTTTTTAAGATGATTTAGTTTTTATGTAAAGTGCTTGTTTGAAAAGCTTATTTTTAATTTATTCTTCACAAGAGTCATAAAGGTGAATAGGAGGAAAGTGATAGACTATTGTGTTGAATGTCAAAGTATTGTGATATATTTTGAGTGTCCCATTGTCAAGACTGGTGAAAGAGTATGCAGAAGATCAAGTCCTCAAGGTGAATTATCCGTAATTACTCATGACTTTTACCTACTTTGGAGCGATAAGCATTTTGCCCTGAGAGCTATGCCCTCAAAAATGATTTCAAATAATGTGCCGGCACAGCGCTGACGCTGATGGATGGGCCTCCCGCCTTCTGCCGGTGTAAGCACAAATCGGGGCGGTTAAAGAAAATTAAGAGCTAAACCCATCGGACGCTCCCTGCGTGGCCGCCTGCTCCGATAAGGACAGTAAATATAAATCGGCTCGGCGCAGACAGCTCTTTAAACATACAGCACTGTTTATTATGGCCCCTCCAAATTGCATCAGGCCTCAGCCTGGGATTCATTACTCCCGGCAGCCGGATTACTCTGTGTTTGCGCCATGATTACCCAGCGCACTGCCATAGGCCGTGCCTAACTGCGCGTGAGGCTCTCCTCTGGCCTAGTGGAAATCGTCTGTGCTGGGAAGTGAAGGGATGTAGATTAGAGCTTGATTATCTATTGTAGATTAGGGATTTGGAACGCCTCATCACTGTGCATCGGGCATCCTAATGCCGGATCACCTCTGTGAGAGGAAAGAGCCATTTAAAGCTTCAGTGGCATGACTTCAGCCACTTCTGTTTTAAATTCCACTTAAATTTGTTGAATGAATGATGGAATTTTTGTCATTCAGTGGTGGACGTTTTGGACAGTAAACAAGAAATCTTTTGAGGCCCAAGAAAATGTGGATGGATTGAGTATTTTTGGCTGCGTACATAAGCAGACTTTTTGGTAAAAGTACAACACCACAAACTCCCAGCTAATCTTTGCAAATTAGATTCTACTTTGTTTCAAAACCAAGAGGCATGGCTCCACAGAAGTTTCTGTTTACAGAGAAAACACTATCCCCTTTCCATTTTATAGAAAGTTTGAAATAATGAGTAACTCTATAATCTGCTGGAAGCCGAAGACCCGACCATTCAAGAATGTCCCGTCTGCTGTGCTGCAGCCTAATCCAGTGAGACAAAATAGGCAGTGAACTGCAATTCTCATATTGCATTTCTGAACTTACTTCATAATTGTGCTTCAGTTCCAGAAAGACAATCGTGTCAACGGAATACTCAAACTCATTTAGGAGGTCCAGTGCTCATAAGAGAATTTCTTTGGGCTCTGAAAGGAAAATAGAAAGGTGTCCAGCTGTACAAAGTGCAAAGAAAAGCCGCTGTATAAACGGGGATTAGCACATCATACGGCTGTAGTGGGGTAAATGGGCACTGCACAGTGTGTTATGGTTCCACAGTCGTAAAGCAAGTGATGAAAAGGTACTGACTGATAGGTTGCAGTTGTCACGATAGACTAGCACAGGAAATCTTAGCTGGAAAAGCAATGTAGCCAATTTTACGGTTTCCAAGCTTGGGAATGATAGGCTAAGCATAAGTTATGATAAACCTAGCTTTTTTCTTCAGAAAGAAAAAATCCATATTTCAGCTTGTGAAACAATAGCAGACATTTTTTTATTCATCTCATTGATTCTATGACAAAATCATTTAAAATCTAATGGTAATTAGATTAAGTCTGTAATAGACCCTGCAAGGTATTAGGTAATTATTTTGCGTTACATGATAGCAAGTTACAAGACATTTTGACTAAATTAACCTGAAATGCCTAAAATAAATAGCCATTGACTGGGTATGTGTGAGGTACAAACTTCAAAGTGCTGTGTAATTATTTTATGTACCAAGACAGTGTAACTATATTAGACTTAATCACCTCAAAGCATCTAGGTATTAAGCTGATAAAGCATCTAGTAAAATATCTCATATTTGTATATTTATTTGCACTACTTTTTGCTGTAATGTCACACCTTTAAGCAGGAAAGTAAATGGTGATGGACCCGGTAAAGCCATAGGAAGAACTGTTGCATTCTTTTACAGCTCAGATTCATAGACAGATACAAGATCTTACATATTAAAGTGTCTTTGTACTACCTTTTTTCCCCCACGAAACTATCTAGCACTTGGAGAATTTTCTGATTTACTTCCTTGCTTAAACATGTGACCTCACAGTGGAATTTATTTGAGTTTGTTTGTGCTTACACCCTTGTTACTCCAAATAATTTTTCAGTTATTTCACATTTCACTATGTGGTTTATCGGCTTTATCTAGAATCTGTTAGACATTTTCATGTTATTTAGCTATCGGTCTTACCACTTACACATTTAATACAAAACACCTTTAGGCAGTTCAGTGTAATTTAATTAAATGTTCTTGGAACTTACCATCTTATTACCCAAAATAATTATCTTTTTGTTTGCAGTTTATACTAATACCTAGAAATTTATAGCATTCATTTTTTTATGTCTTCTGAGTTACTAACAGTGACTAAGTTCACTTTTGTTGGTTGAAAGTGAATATTGCCATCTGTCCTGTATTGCATATCAAAGTTTATTTTTCCTGTATTAATATATATATATATATATATATATATATATATATATATATATATATATATATATATATATATATATATATTATGCCCTCATGTACATCTACCCTTTTTATTCTTCAGTGTCCTCGGTTGCACGTCAGCACTCAGGCATGTAATGGAGATCTTGGAAGCAAAATGGGCTCTAATTTTGTCCTCACATGCATTACAATGAAGAGAGCAGGATTTGATGGAGAGAATTTTGTCCTATGTGTGTATACAGGAAATGTGCATGTGATACCAGGAGAAAGCAGCCGTAAATGTCAATCTTCTCTAACTAATGCAATTCCATTGTAATATGAGAAAGAGGAGGATTATAATTTTATTACATATCTCTGAAACATAAGCTCTCCTCCACTTTGTCCACTAGTGCCAGGGAATCTATTAGTCGAAAGTATTTACCAGTTGGCCTGTCTTCACAGTGAGCGTACACACAGGGGGAGTTTAGCCATCACCCTGCCAAATGTACCAACTGCTGATTTCCACGTTTTCCTGTTGCTCTCCTTGCTGGAGGGAGATTACTGTTGTAAAGTGATATTTGGAGGAACCTTCAGTCTTCTTCAGTCTGTCTGTCGAGTGTTAAGTTGCAAAGCAGAGAGATGATGTCTCCTGCTGTGGGATAGAGAGATACAGACATGCTGTCCAGTTGTAGCTTGACGCTCTGAGAGTTTATCAGGACTCTCTGAGGAGCAGGTAAAAGAAATATCCAGGCAGAGGACTTTAGAACTCTGCCTAACTCAGCAGTCTGCTGTTACGGGCGCTACAGTAGATGGGCCTCATCTGCCATGATGATGTCATACATGGCAACAGACAGTTCATGTAATACACTATTCTCAAGTGTGTGATCTACGCATCTTATATGACATTTCATTTGCTTTGGCAGCCGTGGTCTAAGCACAGTCATTCTCTGCAATATGATAATGCACTGCAGCCCCAGCACCTGGATTTCATTTGGGGCATCAACTATGCTGGTGAGCGCAGGTTGGCAGTTCAAAAAATACCTCATGCAATGAAAGTAACTTAGACAAATCACCACCTGAACTTTCCAATGATATATTCCACTTCGCAAAATAGTTGTCCACTTGGAAATTCATAAACACATGGTATCAAGAACACTTTTCATTCATCTGCGGTCTTAACACCTCGTTTGGATCTCCCTTTCAAAGGAACTGCCCTTTACCATACAAGCCTGTCAGCCAGGATAACTCTAGCTGCTTTTTCAAATGAAGACTTCAGGCCCCCCATCCAGAATCCCATTTGGATTGCCTGAAAAGAAAGGACAGTTGCCATTAACCGAATATACTTAGTGGAGGCAAGTTTGGTGCCAGTTTAGAGTTCTCCTTAATAAAGTTATATATATATATATATATATATATATATATATATATATATATATATATATATATATATATATATACGATAAAAATTTAACAGCAACAATAATTTACAACAAAGACATACTCTGGAAGCAGAAATCATTACTTTGCTAGTTTGGACAATGCCTTCAATACATGAAATTTAAAAAGTAAGTAAGAACGTGGCCTGTAGCTATGGGCAGCTTCTGCTTAACCTAGATGACCAGAGGCCCCCTTTGATGAACAGAAATAGGACTGAGAGAGGAATGAGGGACAGGGAGGAGATGGGGTGGTAGGGTGTGAACTTCAATATGGCAAACACAAGATTGTTTGTTTATAGGAAAAATTATAGGGCGTTAGAAGAAGGAGGCGCTTCAGACATAGCTCTTCTCTCAAACCTCAGTTATTATTATTTTTTTAATTCCATTTGTTCTTTAATGTTGTATCTTAACCTAATTTGACCCTTGCTCCAAGCACAATTTCAGAACATTTTGTATGAGCTTTTCTTAAAAATGAACTTTTCTGAAAGTAGAATACGTTAATTTCAGTGCATGATATTTTTTCTGCATTTCTATATCTCATCAGTATCTGTGACCACTTTTGGCAAAGCTTACAGTGTGGTGATCATAAGAAACTTATGATGAAAAATTGTGCATAAAAAATCTCAAGAGCTCTTCTAAGCTATTGTGACCAAGCACATGTGGAAATAAAACTGTCTTCAAACTCTTTCTTGGGTGTTTCATTAACCGCTGCAGCAGATGAAACACAAATAGGCAATTCTTCAGTCTGAGGGCACACTTGTTCTGCCTGGTAATGAACAGCTCATGGCCACTAAAGAGGACGTGCTTGACTTCGCCAAGGGCTTTTATAAACTTCAGCCTGAAGGAAAGCCAGACAGTGTTCTATTATTGTAATAGGAAACACAGTTTCTCAGTTCATCATTTATTCTGCTTTGTGTATGTTAAACCTGAAGGCCTCATGATTCTGGCTGTGGTGTGACTTTGGACACCATATATGACAAAACACTCTTGCGTGATGAAGCGATTCAGATTCACTCTGCCCTTGCAGCAGGAGCTACTTTGAGTGGTAGCGCCTATTCATGATGTTACACATTAATTATACGAAAGTAGGAAAATGTTCATGTCAAGCCATTTATTATTCTTAATGTCACTGTGTTTGGGAAATAAATGATCCTACCTCTCAGGTGATTTACAGTCGACTTGTTTGTGTTGAAATTTGCATTTGTATGGGCTAGTGGTCATTAGCTTCGTTGACGTGTTATTCAAGATGGTCATGAATGTTCCCTTTTCTTTTTTCCCAGTGGGAGGAGATCAGTGGAGTGGATGAGCACTACACACCTATTCGGACCTTCCAGGTGTGCAATGTCATGGAGTACAGCCAGAACAACTGGCTGAGGACCAACTGGATCCCTCGCAATTCTGCCCAGAAGATCTATGTGGAGCTCAAGTTCACACTGAGAGACTGCAACAGTATCCCCCTGGTGCTGGGGACCTGCAAAGAGACCTTCAATTTGCACTACCTGGAGACAGACGAGGACCAGGGCAGTAAGTTTCGCGAGCACCAGTTCTCTAAAATAGACACAATCGCAGCCGATGAGAGCTTTACACAGATGGACCTGGGGGATCGCATCCTTAAACTCAACACAGAAGTACGGGAGGTGGGTCCTGTCACTAAGAAAGGCTTTTACTTGGCCTTCCAGGACGTGGGGGCCTGTGTGGCCCTGGTTTCAGTGCGCGTGTACTTTAAGAAATGCCCTTTCACAGTGAGGAACCTGGCCATGTTCCCCGACACTGTGCCCATGGACACACAGTCATTAGTAGAAGTGAGGGGCTCGTGTGTCAACAACTCCAGGGAAGAGGACCCGCCTAAAATGTACTGTAGCACAGAGGGAGAATGGCTGGTACCTATAGGGAAATGTCTGTGTAATATTGGTTACGAGGACCGGGGAGTCACCTGTCAAGGTAAAGTCTCTCTCTCTTTTTTTCTCACTCTCTTTTCCCCTTGCAGTGCCTTTCATTTCACGGCCCATTCTCCCCCTTTCATCAGTGTAATGTACTAGCGCCAATCCTGTGGACAAAGCTGTAAATGGGACAGCAAGAATCTTGTTGGGGTTCCGTTCATTTGTTTATTTTACTCATTTATTCAATGCCAAACTGAGGTTGGTTGTTTAGCTGAGGATGTAAATGTTTCTAAACTCCTGGGAGAACTGAATTTGTCCTCTGCTTGGTGAGCAAAAGGCTTTTTTTTCTCACAGCGATACCGACACACCTCTGATCTGTCAGCCATGGTGGGTGTGTGCTTGGGAGAGAGTGCTCTGTCCAGCAGAGGAGGGAATAGATCTGTGGTGCAGGCATCCACAAAGAGCAGCTTGAAGCAGTTAAACTCGTGAAACACTCCTCTGTATCACCTCGTCAGGAGACACACGGAATGGATGTGTGTTTGGCATTCAGGACAGTAGGGTGGGGGAGTGGGGTCTTTGTGTGTACATGTATGTGCTTTCTGAGAATTTTCCAAAATTAACTGCATGCTCCTATGTTGATTTTGTAAATGTGATATAGATATTAAGAATGGTAATGTTTTGTGCTCCTTTACAGTTTTTGATTCAGGGCTTTAAAACAGAAGTATATGGATTGTGTTTTCTATTTCATTTGAGATTTAGAATGTCAGTTTAAGTAAGAACGTTAAAGTTTGGATGGATAAGTTCATTATAGGCAGAGCCGTTTCAGACTAAGCCGTATATTTTGGCTGGCATGTATAATTGTGAAAGGAGCTGTGGTTGAGAGGGCTGATAATAAATTGGCTGGCAGCTGGCTTGCCAGGGACTCAGCCCTGTCTGTGGTATTATTTGAGTTAAGCCGTCTCCCAAGAGAAATCACCACAGCTCATGAAGTGCTCTGTGTGCCTCCTCTCCACTCCAACTGGGCCCTGAGATGTTTGGGATTTTTGCTATGTTGTTTTGTACTTCGCAGTGCTCATGGATTTGTGAGTATCGATGATTGGAAGCCATTCAATTTGAAGAGTGTGTGTACATGTGTGAGCCTGCCTTGGAAATAGAGATATGGAATGGTATATGCGGAACAGCTGCTGAAGGGGCTATGAGCATGTTTTGATCAAGAGCCTATCTGAAATGCACTAACTCCCATATGTGATGAGAAAATGATGAGAGTTTTGGCTCCCATTTCACATTGCCAGTCCAGTATAGTGTTGCTCTGTAGATGGATGTTGTAAAACTGGAGGGAGAATGTTTTTCTCATTAGTGCAATGTGGTACTTGACCAGCACATTGCTTTAACTTTTACTGTTATTGCGCATGTAATTGGTGGATGGGAGTAGGGTCACAGAAGGGCCATGAACTATGAACTGTAGAGAGTTTAGATATTTTAAACTCATTGACCTCTATATACCATAATGTTATATAAACATCATTGGTTATTACAGAACCTGAATGAGAGTTTTCCAGTAATTTTCTGTAGATTGTAATAATTGTAAATATATTTATGTGAAGTTTAAATTTTCAGATGTTTTGAAAAGCATTAATGTTGTATAATATTAGTTATTAACTAACAATGTAATAAGTAATAACTAACTGTGGTTAGTCCAGTCAAAAATTCAAGTTCACAAATGTAATTAATAATAATAATAATAATAATAATAAAAAATAAATGTCTGTTTTTTATAATTCGGCAAAATTATACTTGATATTGCTTTAAGTTTTTAAACAATAGTTTTAGTATTTTATTTTCATTTATAGTATTTTTATTATATAATATTTTTATAGTATTATTTGTAGCTGCTGTTAATATATTAATAATTAATTATTATTGAAAGATAAACATTTCTGAAATTACTTTTGATATGTTTTAGTAAAGACGGTTTCTCGTAATCTCTAATTCATCAAATTCAAATAATACGAAACACTTGAATTTTTTTTTACCTTTCTCATTTTACGCCACGAGTGGAATGAACTGTAGAAGCAGCCAAAATGACTCTTCCAGTGAAACTAAATACAAATGCTGATGTCTGAGCCCTGACCATACATTTCAAATAGTTGTGCGTGGTCATGCATTTTTGCTGGCCAGTATTCTAGCCTGTGGTTTGGCACAGGGCTCATGCCTCTGAAGGTGACTGCTCCAAACAATTTATCAAGCCCAACACCCATTTGTGGTGTGTAGAACGAGACGCCTGACAAGTGATTCATTGTGTTACTTTGATGTAAATGACAATGACAAGACAACGAGGGTGAGTGAGTGAAAGAGTGAATGAGTGAATGAATCAGTAAATGAGTGAGTAAATGTGCCAGTGTAAAAAAAAATGGACAACAGAATTAATTATTCATTGTAAATTATAATAATTATTTCACAGTGATTCAGTAACTGGAGCTCTGCGCATCACCCTTCAGATCAGTGTATAGAGAAACTGATCGTGACACATTGTAGCAATTCTCCCTGAGCTTCCATTAAGATCATCATTTACTATGTTCTACTGTTTGTGTGGAGTTTGTGTGAATGTTTGGATGTATTTGACAATCTCTTATTAGTTTCGGCGCAGACTAATGGACACTAATAAGGGCTTGTATTACCAGAGCGTGACAGCTGCACCTCCATCCTCATAGCCACATTTGTAGGGGAAGGGCCTAACGCAGAGATCACTCTGCAGGCCTGCTGTGTTAACGGATTGATTACTGCAGGGAGCCTGAGTGTCGCTCTATCTGATATTTTGAGGTGTGTAGACCTCCGTTTCAACACATTGAGTGTGGATCTTAGTCATAAGGACAGCCTTGACACAGCACTGAAGAAGTGCTTTTCCAAAATATTATAAGGATGCTTGTGTGTGCACTGACTTGTACTAAGCCCTTACGATATTTGATATTGTTTAAGTTTATGATGTGCTATTATCAACTGGGGGGATGGGGAGGTGTGTGCTGATTTACGCTGACAAAACTGAAGGTTACTTTGATTATTAGCCTCAGTAGAGAAGTGGACCTGGAGGAGTTGAGTCTTAACTGGATTTTCAGTTCATTATCTACCAGTAGGGACCTCTACTGTAACAGCATTAGCAATACATGAATGTGAAAATGATTCACCTCAGTGTGAACATAAAGCCCTCGTTTGTTTGCTTTCAGTCTGACTTGGGCTCTGTTTCCAGTGCATCGGTACACTCTAAGTCACTGGGTGATGTGAAAGTATGACCTATTATCATAATGAAGCAGAGCGCATTAACTTTCCAAGATCTGTGTGAAATTCTTTTAACAATAATTTGATCTTAAAACAGCAAATAAAAGAAGTATATGATCCGGATGTGTGTGCTCACAGGGCTTCCCATGTTCGCAGCTGCCACAGGGTTCCTTTGGGAGCCGCAGTGGTTTACATTCCTCCTGGATTTACCGGGATATACAATCCCCACGCTAGCTATCCCTGATTAGTTATCAGATCTTATTAATGCTGCTGAAGAAAGTGCAATGGGTTATTTTAACAAGCTCTTAAAGCCTTGCTGGATGAAAGGCACTGGGCCAGAGGACTGTGCGTAATGCAGACCGACACTATTTTTACTTTTCAAGGAGATTTGAACACGGATCTTGTTTGTGTGATGCACTGTCTCAGGCCTCCAGCCCTGGTTTACCTCTGTCGTTTGCTTTCATCTGTAAGATGAGAAGTTGTACTGTTTGCATTGAAGTCGCACTGAAGGGACTATGCACATCAAAATGTCTATATTCAGCAGAAGCAGTTCTGCTTTAGAACTTAGGTCCTCCTTTCTGAACAAGTAAAATGAGTTACTTCATGGAGAAATCTTAATGGATTTCTCCATGAGTGTTGTACTTTGGGAACTGGTGGTTTTCGGTGATAATGATGGTGAGTTTTACAATGCCCAGAGCAAGCTCAGGAGGAGGCCGTGTTTGCTTGCCCTGGTTTGTTTCGTATTAGAGGAGCTCATTAATTCTCGCATGCTGATTGTTAAGTCCTGAGCTCCCCGGGCGCTCAGTTTGACTAGTTTTATGCTCAGCACAGTGGACACAATTAATGACGCATCAAAGCAAAATAAAACTGTGGGTCCTCCATAAAGAGCTTGCACTCCATCCTCTCTGCACATGACCTTTGAATCTGATTGATATTCATTCAGACATATTCTCCTTTTTTCGCAGTAATAGATGGCAATTGTAAAGTGTAACCAATGGCGACAGTAGCAATACCCGCAGTAAAATAAGGCCGAGGATCCACAGTGGAGAGCGTTTTCGGAGGAGGAGGAGGCCAGAGCGCCTGTCGTTTTTTCCATCTCTGTGTCTCTGCTGACGCTCTGTGAGGTGGTTGAAGTGGCGATGCTCTACCCCAGTGGCTGATGGTCCTGGCTGGAGGATCAAAGGCTGTCTTTTGCGTGCCTAGGCGTCGATCGTATGCCACGTGTTTTCTATCACTCTCCACCCTCTTTGAGGGAAAATGCTTTCCCCTCTGTTCCCTCTCAGACAAACTTACAGCGCTCATGTATGTTGTCAAGACATCACCGCATGTCACCCCACTGCTGACGGTCCACATCATTACTCCTAAACAATGGCAAAGGCTTGGAATGGCCAAAGTGCTCCCACATGGAATGAAAAACAGAGTGTGAGATGTTGTACTTGTTGGGCTTCCAGTGTTTTCAGGTTTCATCCTCATCCAGGACTCTGCTGGGACTATTTGCAATAATGAGAAGACCAAACGGGGCTTCTGACCAGGCCTGCTTTTGCTCAAACTAGAGGAACAAATATTCACTTAGCTTTATTAGGAAATGCACTGGTTACTGTCACTTCCTAACCAGGGGACTCTCATACAAACAGAGCAGCAACAAATCAGCTAAATCTCTCCTTCCTGTGTGTTTTCGATTAACACGTAGATTGAGCGATTAGATAGAAAGCAGAGTTTGAGTGTGTTTGACTGGAAACTGTAAGAACACATGTTACATGTTAAACGCAGGAGGTTGGCTTTACTGAC